TTAGTCCCTAGACTGGAATCCCACCTCAGGCAGTTAGGTGACACCCTGCACATATAATAGTTCAGAGGTAATGTGACGATGTGCTGTTGGACATACTTTGTGTACTCTTGCAAGGCGGACCACAACCTCAGTATTCAAGGAGGCGATAGAGTCAGTGTCAAATATCATGTCCACTTTTTACTTGCCCAGCATGAGGTTCATTAAACTGCTGCTCAGTCATGAAAGTGACAGCTGGGATCTGAGGGAGGGATGAGGATGGTTTTCTGATGGCAGGACTATAAATTAGAAACTACACTATTATGCATTGTTTAACATATCTGACTTACACTCACCGGCCACTTGCTAGTACCGGGTTAGGCCCACTTTTGCCTTCAGAACTGTCTTAATCCTTCGGGGCATAGATTCAACAAGGTACTCTAAATATTCCTCAGTGATTAGGGTAATGAATGACATGATAGCATCACGCAGTTGCTGTAAATTTGTCGGCTGCACATCCATGATGTGAATCTCCAGTTCCACCACATCCCAAAGGTGCTCTATTGATTGAGATCTGGTGACTTTGGAGGGCATTTAAACACAGTGAACTCATTAGCTGTTTCCATCCAAAAATGTGAATAAACTTTATGCGCAAAACTCTATTATCCCATAAAAGACGTGGAAATAAAGCAGCGTTTCCATCCAACGATTCAAAGAGAAAATCATCAATTGCTGATTAACTTGCGCCAAATATCAACAGTAAAAACTGAATTTGCTGCAGTAGAAGAAGCTGCGCGAGTGTTTTAATAAATTAATTGTGCCTCAGAAAGCAATCCTGACATGAAGTGAACGCGCGGTGGTGTTTGGTGAAGGAGTCAGACGCGGAGCACAGATGCTCTTGATTCTGGAGGTCATTAATAATATAAAAACACTAATACTTAAATAGTAAGGCATTTTAGAATGATCAAAACAACAGTTCAGATGTTTTACAGTGCTCAGCCTGCTGGTTTGTCTATTTACACATTTTCATCATCACATGATCTCTTCTCACAAAATCACATGACCTTTTTTCATGCGCATACTGAAATTTGTGTGGTAAAAGTGTTTCCATCGTAGTTTATGCGCATCTTTTCTTATCGATTAAAACGTTTATCCTACTCAGTTATACGCATGAGTTTTTTAGGCAAATTTTTTAAACTTATGCTCATCGTGGCGTTTCCATCATCCATTTTTAAGTGCATTTGCAAAATGCGCATAAAAATAGGTGGATGGAAAGATAGCTATTGTCATGTTCAAGAAACCAGTCTGAGATGATTTGCACTTTATGATGTGGAGCATTATCCTGATGGAAGTAGCCATCAGAAGATAGGTACACTGGTCATAAAGGGATTGACATGGTCAGCAACAATACTTTAGGCTGTGGCGTTGACACAATGCTCAATTGATCCAAATGAGCTCAAAATGTGCCAAAAACATATCCCCGGCACCATTACACCAACCCAAAAAGCCTGAACTGTCAATACAAGGCAGGATGGATCCATGTTTTTATATTGTTGATGCCAAATTCGGACCCTGCCATCTGAATGTCGCAGCAAAAAATGAGACTCATCAGACCAGGCAACGTTTTTTTATCTTTTATTGTTCAATTTTGGTGAGCCTGTGTCAATTGTAGCCTCAGTTTCCTGTTCTTAGCTGACAGGAATGGCATTTATTACTATACAACAGAAAGTAGCAGCAGATAGTTTACCTTAGACCTTGAAAATAAAATAAACCCTTTGAAATTTAACTTTAGAACTGTGACTAAGTGAAAGCCAACACATATCAGGGATTCGGCATCTACATTTAATGTACAACCATTTCATTGGAGTGCAGTAAATGCACTATTCTGTGCTTCAGAATAGCTGTATTTAAATTTCTGTTGTGTATTGTCTGGTGCAAACAGCCAAACTGCTCATCCCTGCAGATCTCGTCAAGCAGTGTGTTGTTAGGACACAGGGTTATATTGTAACCTGCTAACCTAATGTTTAGGTTTGCAATATTTATATTATTTGCTAATTAATAACCACCTCATGTTGAACTCTGATTTCGGAGTCTGTTACTGTCTACCAGAGGTCACATACTTTGAGAGCCTTCATGATTGAATGAATAAAATACGCTGTTTTCCATAAAGGCAACCCAGGGTGCTGAAAAATAATGGACTGAACTGGCATTGGGTGGGTAGCGCACATTTTCGTAGCAGAATATCAGACATTAACATATTTTTTTATTAAAAAAAGAATGTTAACTTAGCATGTTTCTTAAATATCTGCAAACATTTTATGGTATTTTATGCTTTAGAAGAGTCAAAAAGTCACCTTTAAAGCTAGAGTGTTGTGATGGCAGAGATGATTTACATCTGCCAGGTCAAATTCTCACAGGCTTAAGTAGGCCTTCCTGGCATAATAGATGATTACATACGAGCAGTAAACGGCATGTAGCTTTAAGACCGCCTCAAGCTCATGCACCACTTGGCATCTTGAGATCCATAACCATCTCCCTTCTCCCAGCTGCATTAACAGTCCAGCCAGGAGGAGGATAAAAACCCATCAAACCTCTTGCTGCTGCAGCTAACTGCTGTGTCAAGTCAAGTCAGGGGCTGCCGGGACTCTCCAAACCCTCCCCAGAAACAGTGTTCTAATCTGGGCTCGTTCCTGGGTATCTATCACATGCAGGCAGACACACACACACAAGCAGACTCCTCTCAGTTTCACCCCAGAGCATTCAGGGGCCCCAGCAGCAGGAAAGAGTGAGACCCGAAAATGCTCAGATGTGTGCTCAGACAGACACAGCGTGAGCACGCACAACAAACACCCACATGCTGACACTTGTACGCCAACAGAGACGCTAAGAAGCGGCCGTGAAAATTCTTCTGGAGATTGTTTGGGCCTGACAGGCACATACCACGGCTCTGTGCTAAACATATTACGTCAAGAGGAGGAGAAATATGGAGAACTCGCGATCAAGATGCTTTCAGTGTGTGAGAGAGAGAAAATATCAAAGAGACTATAAAAAAAGATTTTAGAGACAGAGTGAGAAAGAGAGAGATGGATAGATTTAAATCATGTTTTGACCATTTTTCACCACACAAATCTAAATAAATCATAATATGCAAACAATAGCCTGCATAAATAAAATAAGAGTCTATACCAATATTTCATGTGGCCACCATTTAGAAAAAATTAAAGCGAGGCTGCGGTGGGAAGAAACTCAAAAGTACTGTATAGGATCAGCATTGTAAACATTGCAACTACAAACCTTTAGCTGTTAATGCAATTTTAAAGTGAAGATATGGTGTAAACCACTTTCTTATCATTCAGTAAGTTTAATTAAAACAATTAAAAGCATATTAGGCATCAAACAATGTCATAATCTCTTTACAAGTAATACGCTTAAGTGTCCTCCCAGGCTTCAGTTCATGGCACCGTGGGACGATTCCCTGCTTCAGCCTATGTAACCTGGTGAGCGATAAAACAATGCAGTCCTCTGTATCACACCCTTGTGTTGTCTGTAATTGTGTTGTCCCAGTACTGAAAATGTAAGTGTCCATTTCCCGCTAACATTTAAAAGCCTGTTGAGCGTGTTCCTATACACCGCTGATTTGCTATAGTATTAACCAGAAATGACTGTGATTGGCTGTGAAGGTCATCAGTTCACTGCTCTTCACAGACAGAGAAAACACAGAAACCGGGACAATGGGGCGTTTTAAAGCTGTGAAGATGAGTCAAATCGCATCTTCCCAGAGATGGGTTGGGGCAGGAAGGGCAGCCGCTGCGTAAAAACGTGCTGGATAAGTTGGCAGTTAATTCCGCTGTGGCGAGCCCAGATTAATAAAAGGGACTAAGCCGACAAGAAAATGAATAAATGAATAAATTTGCAACAATTAAAAAAAAAAATATATCACATTGTCATTATGGGGTATTGTGTGTTGAATTGAGGAAATAAATGAATTCAATCTGTTTTGGAATAAGGCTGTAACATAAAAAAATTGTGAAAACTTGAATACTTGAACTTGAACAATGAATACTTTTTGGATACACTGAATACAGCCAGGTGCACAGACGTGTAATAAATTTTAAACTTTTGTTTAAGGTTTATAATAGGGGTGCATTGGTTTTCGGTAAAAAAATAATTCCGTTGTCCTCCCACTGCTCAGTGCACCCTGTGATAACCCCTTGATAACGAATGCCATATTTGTTGTTGTTGTTGTTGCCAAAGATAGTCTAGATCAGTGGTTACTAACAAACATATAAAGGTCCATGTCCAGACCCAGAGGCATCCCATATGGACCCGGACGTACAGCACCCCTAGTTTGCAATGAAAATCAAACTCTTTGATAACAACTTGTTTGGTAAAGTCAGTCTCTCATGAAACATGCCTACTAAAAGACAGACAAGATTACTTTACAAACTGTATTGTGATAACTCATATTAACATTTCACTTAATACTATACTGAAACTAATATTAAAACTGAATTAATGTATATATACACACATTTCATTCATTCATTTTCTTTTCGGCTTAGTTCTTTCATTAATCCGAGGTCGCCACAGCTAAATGTACGGCCAACTTATATAGCATGTTTACGCAGCAGATGCCTTTCCAGCTGCAACCCATCTCTGGGAAACATCCATACACACTCAGTCACACACATACACTACGGACAATTTAGCCTACCCAATTCATCTATAACCTATGTCGTTGGACTGTGGGGGAAACTGGAGCACCCAGAGGAAGCCCATGCGAACACGGGAAGAACATGCAAACTCCACACAGAAAGGCCAACTGACTCAGCCAAGGCGTGAACCAGCGACCTTCTTGCTGTGAGGAGACAGCACTACCTACTGCGCCACTGTGCCATCCTATTTACACATTTACATTAAAAGAATGATGGGCTCAAAAAAGGTAGATTTGGGGAGGTCCAAGTGGCTCATTGGTGTAAAACAAGGTGTAAAACAGCAGGAGAAAATCTTTTTGGAAGTATTACCTGGTCAAACTCGAGGGCTCCTGGATATAGGGGCCAACCCAAGAAGAGCTCAGCAATTACACATCCCAGCGACCACATGTCTATGGCTTCACAAAAAGGCAGGCCAAGAATGATCTCTGGAGCCCTGAAAATCAAACACAACCACCAACATGAAAAACAGAGCCAACCTAACAAACAAAAAAAGTATGAATACATGTTTTAGTGTGATTACTCACAACAAGGCCAGAACACATTTTTTTTTAGCAGACTGAAAGTATATAAATCTTCTGAATTGAATAAAACGTGTTACAGTAATGAGCATATGTAGAAATATATATTTCCGAAAAAGTGTTTTTAAAACTTTTGACAGTTCAGAGCCACTGTCCAAGCGAAAAGCTAAATAATAACAATTTAAATAAACAATTTGAGGAAAGCTCTGTTATAGTGCACTGAACAAGTTCGACACGCATGTGCGAGGCAGTCAGTTCTGTACAATTAAGTAATCTATCGGCTTAAAGATATCTAATTTTGACATCAGACCGACAATAATAACACAAAAAATTAGCATTTATTGGCCGATAATGATATGGTCACCGATATATTGTGCATCCCTAGTTATCACACAGCAAAATGTTCTCTTCAAATGACGATTAAATTAATGAAACTATTTTAAATGATTCCTTCCATTTTACATCACACACAAAAAAAAATACATTGCATGAAAGCAGTCTTAAAGAGACCACCTGTGTGCTTATTTACCATTGTAAGTGCATCAACTCAACCAAAAAGATTATTAAAACAGATTGCAGACCAGATATCCAGTAGATAACCAAACGACACATATTTAAAAACAGTTTGTGAAGGCACAGGCAAACATGTTAGTTTAGGGTTGGATCGGTCTTACATGGGTTAACAGGTTAGTAAGCTCTATTCTTTTAATGTAGCCATGGTGACGCAAGAAGCCCAGCGACTGCTTAGCAACAAATCACCACGGTGATCTCATTGAATGGCATTAAGGTCTCTGTGTGCGAAACCGTGATGCAGCTCTAGTCAGCACTCATCGGAGTAAGTCTGTCAGACAGATTACTGCCACTCACAAAACACAGGCTCAAACCAGGGCTGCAGACTCTGATGTTGATCACATTTTGTGACATTTTACCTGTCTGTGCAACTTCATTTTGTTAAGAGGTTGCACTGGTGCCACTGCCAATCTATACCAACTTAAAAAACCCTGCCATTTAGGTTTGCATAGGATACACTAAACAGCAAAAGCAGAGTGAAAATAGAGGTAATCGGATGAACCTCATATCATGTCATTTTAATATTGCATGTGCAGTGTTACCAATTCAGGTAAAGGAGCTTGGTGGCACCGCTCTTAAAGGGACAGTCAACAAACAAAGACAACACCGGCACTGACATGTTCCTCCATGTCGTGTCAGTGATGGGTCATTCTTGAATGGTTCGTTCAATTTGAACAAATCTTTTGTATGACTTATGAATTGACTAATTCATTTACGCATGCGCACATTTGTGCAAGTGGAGCTTGCGTGCTGCCTTGGAGTGGTTGGTTTCGCGCAGAATGCGCACATGTGACCATGGGCATAAATCTGATTTAACAGTAGGGGGGGAAAATAAATATAAAAAAAAAAATTTCCAGCATTTTTTTGAAGGGGACACAAATAATACAGCCGAATTGTACTAATAAAGTTATGTCCCCATAGTTAAAAATAGTTTCATCATTATTATTATAGCATGGAGACCACAACATTTTCCATACACTTTATAACTAACTTGTTTACATTACACTTGTTAAAATGACAGAACATATTGTAAATCAGTGAGCCTGCGAGGTTCATCTGCTAACAACCACAACTCTGAAAACATTTAAAAAATTGTTCATCCCAAAATAATTATCATTATCCCTTCAAATAAGGCACAACACCCTTACCTTACACTGTACATCTGACTGACCCTGCTCTGCCTGTTCTTCAATCATTTCTTTATCCTTTGCCTGTGATTAATATTGTAACATTAGTATTTTCTTAAGCACTCATTCTGAAAAATTACCTTAATATGTGAACTTTTTGTACTTGGCGTTTAGCTCCACAAAAAATTATCTTATGTCTATTTTCTCAGTCATTTTTTTGTATTTGTCAATACATGACACTGCAATGCAAGTTTATTTATACTGTAGCACATTTTATACACAATGGTAATTCAAAGTGCTTTACATAATGCAAAACTATCATAAAAATAATCACAACAATAAAAACAAAGAATTAAAAAGGTTAACATTTTAATTCAAAATTATTTGAGTTACTTAAAACAGAATAGAGACTGATTATACAAAAATATAGTGGGGTTAGTGTGCACAGTGCTCATTTAGCAAATACACAACTAAACAATATGCTATTTGTGGTTGTTAATGTTAAGTTAACATTATGCCAAGTCATCACAAATAAACAATGCATGGAAAATGCCTTTAGCGTTAGCAACAAGCTAACGTTAACTAGATAAGTAATTTTAATTGCTAATACAGCAGACTCATGGACAATTGCATATGTAATCAGCATTTTTGCCGCGACTAATTCATGAACGAGTCTGTATCAACTACATTGAAGAGAATCGCTTTATTTAAGGTGGATAAAACCCCCTACTTACACAGCCGCACACCTGACGTGTGCGTGAGTGCGAGTAGGTGAGATGAGGGAAAAACCACACAGTGGACCGAACCACTTTGAGGAAGGGGAGGGGGAACTCAACTGTTTCTAAATGCATTTTAAATGATAAATGCGGTTTTCTTTCTACTCAGACAATTATTTTAGGTATATATACGTAGATAAGTAGAGTTTTTTTAATTATTTATTTATTTATTTTGGGGGGGGGGGGTTCCCCTCGGTTGGGGGGGGGGGGGCATGTCCCCTCCGTTCCCCCCGGGATTTACGCCTCTGCATGTGACCTCAAACCATATCGATATGAATGACATTGGATAATACTGCATCGTGTTGGGGAATTATATCGATATATCCCCAGAACCCGATATACCACCCAGCCCTAACATGCATGCATACATACATTTTGTGTGTGTGTGTGTGTGTGTGTGTGTATATATATATATATATATATATATATATATATATATATATATATATATATATATATTCTTAATATTCTAAGTCAATCTCTTTTTTTTTTGTATGTTGTAGTGTTGCATTTATACCATGTAATTGTAGTGTATTGAGTGCTCATTTATCAGGAATGTGTGCTGTCTTGGCAGAAAAAAAAAAGAAATGCCAGCATGTGTTTAGCCTTTTTCTTTAAGGCAAACAAAACAGCAATCTGGTAATAGAGTTGAAATGTGGTGGTAGGGGAGATATATGAAAAAAAAAAAAAAAAACTGACATCTCACAACAAAGAAAACAAACAGACTCATTTTTATACAACATGAAGAACAAATGTTGGAGCTTATTTTAGGCCCTCGTTAGGGCAGTGCAATTAATCAAAAATTTGATTTTGATTTTGGCTTCTAACGATTATAAAAACCATCACGCAAGATAAACGATTATTGCATCATATACTGACCCCCTTTTCCAGTTGTACACATTTGTTGCTCTGCAAAGCTCCGTTTCACATGACTAAAAGCATGTACTGTAATGTAATTTTTGCAGCACGGGATGCGCACTGTTCATTGATGTACATTCAAATCATTCATGTTTTTAAAAACGCAAACGAGAATGCATGCTGCGGTCAGCATTCAGTCTCATTCGCCTCTGAAGTGTCTCATTCGCACACCTCAGAGACGAGAAGAGCACACACATGTAAACTTATCAATGTGAGCACTTTAATGGTCAAATAGGTGTCATAAAGCGGTGTTTAGTGATTATTCATATAAACCCTCAATTGTGTAATAAACAAAGAAGTTGAGAATCAAAACACACGTGAAAGCGAAACCATTAAAGTGTCAGCACGCAATATTCCTGCTGCTGCTTATTTTTATCACCATTAATCAAACAACAAAAGGACAAAATCACTCACTGCTCTTGACAGAAGGATTTTTGGAGCTAAAGTGTACAGTAAAGATGCTTAAAGCACAGTTTATTTCAATGTTTTTATTCTAGTCTACTTATTTCTCTTTCCTTATTTACAGGGAGGAAAATAACTGTATATATGCAGTTGAAGTCAGAATTTAGCCCTTCTGAATTATTAGCGACTATAGGCGACAAGCCTCCTTCTAGAAGCTCCTTCTAGAATATCAATGGAAGATGTTGAGAGAGTTTCTTGATGTCTCCATGTATGAAGCCGCTCATCCTACACCAGCCGCTGGGTGATGATCCACTGCAGTTCTCATATATCTCCTCTCCCTCATAAACACGTGAGGGCCGATCCAATAACGGCATCTCCATCCATATATCTCATTTGTCTCTGAGGGGCAGTACTGAATAATAACAGCAGAAAAAAAAATATGCCCAAAGTGACTGCATACAGTTAATGAAAATGGGGTTATTTTTAAAGAGTGGGGTGCTCCATGTACACCAGTGGATCTATTTGTTTTGTTGAAGGCAGCCCTCTCTTATATAATATAATATAATATAATATAATATAATATAATATAATATAATATAATATAATATAATATAATATAATATAATAAAGAATAATATAATATATTTTAATATATAATATAATTTTTAAACAATTAAAATTTAATAACAATTTAATTAAAATTAAATAAAAAATAAAATAAATTTAAATAAATTTATTTAAACTAAATTACAAATGAATTACAGTTAAATTACAATTAAAATAAATATTAAATAAAATAAATGTAAAAATTAAATTAAAATAAATTAAAATTAAATATAAATACAATAAAAAACATTTAAATAACAGTAATAATAATAAATTAAATTAAAGTAAACTGTAAATTAAAAGCCAACGAGATGGGTGACAATGTATATGCATATATTTCTGAAGCGAAGTCAAAGAAATTTTTTTAAATTGAGCTTAATTTATTTCCAAATTGTCAACAACCTCATGTTCAAAGAATAAATAACATTCGATAAAATTAAGAACATTCATGTTAAACAGACAAAAAGTTAAAAGCAAATGCTGATCTAAACTACTTACAGCAACAAAACCTTATGG